TATAAATCATAATTATTTTAATTAATAAATATTAAAAATAATTATTTAAATTATAATTACTTTGATTTTCTTGATATAAAAGACAAAATGTTGTTTAAATGTCTGGTCTTTGCAGCACTCGGTTGTAATGGCAGTGCGTTTAGACTTTAACGATATGTTTTTCATCGCCTTTAGTGTCAAATATTTGGCGTAAAAATTATTGTTTGAAAAGATATTGTTTATGGAAATAGTGATCATTTTAATCACTATAGACTCATAGGAGTCCGATATCTGAGCGCTTGACAGCCGAACCAAAAATGTCAACATATTTTCAATTAATATTAAATCCATTTCTCTGTGTTTGAAAATCTCCGTAAATTTGGTGTTCATTTTCAACACAATTGAGTCATTGATTCGCTGTCTCGGCATTAAAACAGTCAACAATTTAATGAAATCTGCGTTAAGTTTCAGTTCATATGATTGCGAAAAAGTGTGCAAAACTGTCTGCAAAGTTGTTTCACGAATTCTACTGTTTATATCGCTGTTTATGAACAAATTGGACACAAGTTTTATTTGATAATTATTGATAGGCTTTCCATTGTCCACAAGTCTATCAAATTTGGCAACAGTTTGGCTGATGTCTTGAAGGGAGAGAACGCGCGAAACGTTCAAAAGACACCACACCTTAGAGTGTGTGAACAGATCGTAGTCTCGGATCAAATAATCGAGTTCTGAACTCTTGAGGAATGGTAACAAACGGTTGAGCAGTGCTGTGGTGTTGGGCAGCAATGAATGGTCAATATCTACGGATAAAGACATCAAAACTGAACACAATTGATAGCAAAGCGGCGACGGGTGAGAAAATCTGGCGATAAAACAGAGGACATCGGCGGCCAACTGATGGCACACATAGTCTTCGGATAATAAGTTGTCGAACAGTGTTTGCTCCACAAAACTCAAGTGATTGTCACTCAATGTTGGCATCAATTGGCAGACAACGAAACACAAGTATTCATAAAAAGTCATCCGTCTGTTCCGGAAGAATAGAAATAGTTATCTCTTGTGGTAAAGAAATGAGACAATTGCCGAAGACTTACAGCGTGTGATCGATTTGAGACAAATCGATGAATTTGGGTAAAGAGGCGTCGATATAACAATCGGGTAAAAACTCAAACATTTCAGTCAACACACAATTGGCCGACTGTTTGTCGGATTTGATCCACAAATCAATGATCGCGTTGTCTTCGAGTTGTGACAACTTTTGCGTCAAATTAATTAAACCGCAAACGTATTCATAATGGGAACCGCTGTCCGATTGAAGACCTCTTTTGGCGCAAAAGTTCTGGAAATTGAGAACTTTTTGCGGCAACTCTTCATCGGTCGACAGCTGAAGAAGAATCGACTCGTCCTCAAAGTCAGTGGAGAACAAACGGTCAAAGATAGCGCTGTCCTCATCGTCAGAGTCGACAGGCATTGACTCCTTCGAGGGATCAAAACAAAGACATTAAGACATGAAATGAAAAGACAATTCAATTCAATTGTCTTGACATATATCGGGTGACACCGCGGATGACGATCACCACTAAACACAAGCCTATCATTACCTCAAACGAGTCATCAAACGGACAATCATCGGTTGGCATTGTTTCCCAACACTTGTTCACACAAGAAGTCACCCAAACATCTGATCCCAAAAGTGATGTCAAAACAAATTTGATGTTATTTTGAATGCGAAGTGAAAACAAGTTTAGCGCCAAAAGTGTCC